TTTAATGTTATCATCGATGACGATTTAATTCAGTTACGACCAGAAAGGGTTTTTTTTTGTGACCTTTGACAAACAAAATCTAATCAGTTCCTTCCTGTTTAGATTGGTGCCAAATTTGAAGAAAATCCCTTTCTGCATTTGAGTGTTATCATGTTTAAAAGGATGGGGCAGGTAGACAGACACAGAACCCAAAAATATAATACCTTTTCAGAGCAGAGGTCTAAAAATCCACCTCAACTTTCTCAAAACGGATTTTAAATAATTTCTTTCCACTTAAAATTAGACAAACTTGGCTGAAGAAAACATCTTCAATTCCACAAAAAGAGACAAGAGGAGGTGGGGAAAAAGTATCTGGTCTGTTCAACACTTAATTTACTGGTTAGTTAAATATCAAGGTATTTATCCTAAAACGGTAGCTTTGTAAGGCGCATCACCCTGACGCAGCGAGTTTGTTTTTTAATAAAACAGTATATAGAATGTAAGCCAAAACGCACTTGCACTGCCAGACACAGTTCCAGTCACTGAGGACAGGGTGGGGCTTGTCGTCAATCATCTGCCCATCCTCCTCCTCAATCAGGGCATCCGTCAGTGGAGGTGCCCACAGCTGGAGTCGCTCGGTTGCTGCTAGGATACGGTTCCCTGAGGACACAAAAGCACTGTGTTACACACCTCATGTCCCACGTTGACTACTACACTACGCAGAGCCACATACAAACTGTGACTCTTACATAATGCACATGCTGTTTCAGCCAAATTAAAGGGTGGTAGGAGAAGGAGCTGCCTTTATCTGGTAATCATAGAAAGCATTTGTGTACCTTGTGGGTCCCAGGCCAGGTTGTAGGTGATGGCATCAAGGAAGAACTGTCCTGTCTTTTGCCACTGATAGTTAAGCTGCTGTTAGTGGTGGGAGAGCGACACACACCATGCAGTGTTAGTGGAACAAAGGTGTAATTAAATCTGCTACAAACTGATTTAAATCCTTAAATCTGCCTAAAAAGCTGGCGCTGGTACTCACCTTGTGGCGTTTATTTGGGTTGATAGAAAGAGGTTCAAAGATGCAGACTGTGTTTCCGTAGGACGCAGCAATCTAAAAATAAAGAGCTGTGTTCATCATCACAACATTACTCACCCCATCAGTGCTTTTGCACAGTCACTCCCACAGGAAAAAGGAAGGTGTGGTGTGGTGCAGGAGAGCGAAATGGCAAAGGAAGACGAGAAGTTGAAGACAAATGCAAACGAGGAAAAATGTACCTCTTTCCGCTCAGCATAATTGATAAAATCTTTTAGCCACAGGACAAAAAAAACTAAAGCTGTGTGTGGGAGTGTGTCTCTGTGAGCATTTAACACTTACCCTGCCAAGCTGGTGGGAGCACTCCACACAGCCCACCTGTATGTTTCCATTTTGAGCTCCCGGGATAATCTGAACACACTCAAAGTCACTAGCCAAGATCACTACGTCGCATCCTGAGCCATAGGCCTGAAAATACCAGAGTATAGGAAAAACAAAATCACATTTTAAGTCATTCAACAAATGTAATCAAGACACTGAGATTTAAAATTACAATAATTGCAAAATGTGTCTGGAAGCTGGAGATCATTCTATATGCAAATCTTTTCACTATGCTATTTTTACTACTTCAAATATTTATATGACTTGATTTTAACTACATGGACAATATATAGCCAAGCATATCACAATATCTGCAAAAGCTGTGTCAATCACATGAGGCATGAAAGAACAGCTCAACAATTGGAAAGAGGCGTCTACAGGAAATTACATTCGTAGCTGAATGGTGGGGAGAAAGAATAACAACAGCGTGACTCTGCAGTCGCTGAAACAACCTCCTGATCTGTTTCTATTACACGCCGATATTGGTCATTTTTGGTTTTACCATTTATCACACTGAAAAAAAATTATTTTCCTGAAAATAAAGTGCATACACAGGACTGATCAGCCACTGCAATCATAATATCATTTAATGCACATATGTGGTGATTTTATAGCACTATAGCATGATTTCACATGATTTATTGAAAACAGCATTTGTGAACATCATTCTCATGTGGCACTGAATGAAAAACTGAGCCTTTAACAGCACATGTGACACTGCATCTGAACGACCTGAGCCTTGCCAATGCAGGATTTTTAAGACCAATGTTTGGGGATTTAAAAAGCCAATATTTTGGTACTGGTCAACATTTTGTTTTCCTTTTTAGATACATGAAACATATTCCCGACATTTGTTGGCTAGTTATTTACTAGTTTATGCTCTGCCTGACTGCGCTTAGAACAGCTGTATGGGCAGAAATCTGTGCCATCAGAAACTGAATTTGAATAAGTTAAATTTGAATTTGAATTGCTCAGATTGAATCTGAATTGTAACTTGAATAAATGCTTTTGAAAACTGAATTTGAATTAGTCTAATTTGAAATTGAATTTATGGTTTGAAAATGATCATCACTAAATTGAAATTGAATTTTATATTTTGAAAATGAATTGATTTGCTTTGAAACTGCATTTTATCCTTTAAAAATTCAGCTCTCGAATAATTTCAGTTTCACTTCTCACCATTCAGTTTCAGTTCTACAATTCAATTTCAGTTCCAAAATTCAGTTTTTTGGAACTTACATCCGGTTCCGGTTCAAGCGCAGATTAATAGAACTACGTTTTACTAGCGGACCGAAAGTGTTACTGACGGGAATCTACAGCGTCTTGAGCTGAATTAAGACTTCAGAAGTCATTCGTCATGTCGAATGACCAGCGGATAAACTCTCAGGTTGGTAATAAATGTATACATGTATAAGAACAAGCGTCATGTTAACAAATGATAGCCGTACGGTAACTTTTATGCTTATTGTAGCTGCTAGCTAAAAACGCTAATTTAGCGTAGTTTGCCCTGAATTCAGCTTTGACAAAATATGATCGACTGTTTCTAGTAGAATTCCAAAGTTGTCATCTTGGACCCTCTCAGAGTACCCCCTCTGTATGCTTGCAGAGACCCCTACAGTAGGGAAACATGCAAAACGGTGTCCAAACCTTTGTATTTTAGCTTTATTTATGTCTTACACAGCATCCCAACTCTTTAGCTAACTTAATAACTTTAGCTAAAGTGAATAGTTAGTCTAATTCATTAGTGCAGCATTACTGGATCACCTCTGTTTGAAGTGATATAATATGATATACAACTATCACTGTGTTTAACTACCATAATAATTCTACTTAATTAGATTTTTTTTTTTTTTAAACATACTGCTCCATTAATATGTTTGACAGGCTGAAGTTGTCGGGTCACCTCCTAAATCGACCATCTTTTACAGGTGTTTTGTGCCAGAAATGGAGTGTCCACTGAAGACTGAAGATACTGAATCTCTACGCCTTGCCATCCATCCCTCTTGTGCCTTCATCTAGACAAGAGACAAACTTAACCACTCTCATATGCTCTGTACCTACATCACCTTCCCTGACAGTCGTAGCTTGGCTCATCTGAGGGTGAAATTATAAGAATGTGTTATTTTGCAAAGTGCTCTCTAGGGTTCCTAAATAAAATATGGCATTGAGGTCTTTTGAATTAATCCCTTCTTCTGAAATATAAGAACCTCTCCTGGTTTTAATGGCACTTTGGATTTCCTTACTTTCTGTTCCACTCCCAACCCCAAATAGATGCTGACAAGCTGCCACAGTAACATGGAAGAGGGAAAGAAGTTGGAAAGGACTACTACAAATAAACCTAATGCCTAACAATGTAAAATAAGAACAATAATAAAGATAAGATGAAGTAACAAGTTTTTAGTTTTTTGTTTATTCCAAATGATCATCCAGATGTCTGTGACATGTGATGACAAACACCATAATGGAAGGCCTTAGTCATCACATGCTTAAACTCATATATTTTTGCATATGCTGAACAGGCAGTCAGACATGCTGTAACTGTGGGGTAGAAAACAGCATAAACACCATACGGCAGGGGTCTCAAACTCCAGTCCTCGAGGGCATGGAAAAGTTGCATGACACTGGCCCTTGAGGACTGGAGTTTGAGACCCCTGTCATATGGAATATGACAGGTGTGGTTGAACTGCATGAAGACTCTGAAGCTTCTCTTCTCTTCTGGCAGGACAGGAATGTGGCCTTGTCCTGTGAGCCACTGTAAGGATGTACTTAGAGTAGAACTGGACTGTCACCGGCCTCAGGCTCTTCACCCTTTTCAAAGACAAAGCAGTCATTTAGATAAAATATTAGATATTGTTTACCTGTAAATGCACAAAGTAAATTTAGAAATGTAATTATTGTCAAGAGTGAACAAGCACTGATAGTGTAATCTACAGCTGTGGCCAAACGTTTAGAGAATGAGAAGTGTTGTTTGCTTATTTACAAAGTTTGCTGTTTCAGTGATAGTTGTATATCATATTATATCACTTCAAACAGAGGTGATCCAGTAATGCTGCACTAATGAATTAGACTAACTATTCACTTTAGCTAAAGTTATTAAGTTAGCTAAAGAGTTGGGATGCTGTGTAAGACATAAATAAAGCTAAAATACAAAGGTTTGGACACCGTTTTGCATGTTTCCCTACTGTAGGGGTCTCTGCAAGCATACAGAGGGGGTACTCTGAGAGGGTCCAAGATGACAACTTTGGAATTCTACTAGAAACAGTCGATCATATTTGTTGTCAAAGCTGAATTCAGGGCAAACTACGCTAAATTAGCGTTTTTAGCTAGCAGCTACAATAAGCATAAAAGTTACTGTACGGCTATCATTTGTTAACATGACGCTTGTTCTTATACATGTAATACATTTATTACCAACCTGAGAGTTTATCCGCTGGTCATTCGACATGACGAATGACTTCTGAAGTCTTAATTCAGCTCAAGACGCTGTAGATTCCCGTCAGTAACACTTTCGGTCCGCTAGTAAAACGTAGTTCTATTAATCTGCGCTTGAACCGGAACCGGATGTAAGTTCCAAAAAACTGAATTTTGGAACTGAAATTGAATTGTAGAACTGAAACTGAATGGTGAGAAGTGAAACTGAAATTATTCGAGAGCTGAATTTTTAAAGGATAAAATGCAGTTTCAAAGCAAATCAATTCATTTTCAAAATATAAAATTCAATTTCAATTTAGTGATGATCATTTTCAAACCATAAATTCAATTTCAAATTAGACTAATTCAAATTCAGTTTTCAAAAGCATTTATTCAAGTTACAATTCAGATTCAATCTGAGCAATTCAAATTCAAATTGAACTTATTCAAATTCAGTTTCTGATGGCACAGATTTCTGCCCATACAGCTGCTTGTTGTTTTTGTTGCATTCAGCGCTGTTGCAAACAGGAAGGTTGCAGAGTGCCCTCTGGTGGATAAATCTCCACATATTCGAAGGGTGTTTCTCCCATCTCTCATTTAATTTTCATTTGTCAGCAGCTATAAATGCCAATACTGATTGAACTGAAAGTAGCTAATATAATCCCGCCAATAAATCAATCAGGCTCTAAAACAGAAAAGCATATGAGGCACATATCTCCAGCATCTAAGATAGTCTAAGACACATTTTGTGGATCATATTTCACACAATATTTAAAGAAAACTGATAAACATTGATGAGACAAAAATTTCACTGATCACATTCACCATTATATGCATGCTATCGCACTGCCGAATAACTGCTGTAAGACTAGTTTTAGTTACTTCTCATACAAATCAAATAAAACCAATTCCAGACAAGTTCCTTTCCACCTGCAATACTTAACCATGGGAGGATATCCATGGTGTAAAGTCCATACAGTGTGCATTTTTTGTTTCCTTTTCAGTTTTGCTGAACAGACAAACGTTCATAAACACAAAACTTCTGCTTTCGCTCTCATCTTGGCAGATGAACAAGGGCGAGCCACAAAACTAAGTAATATTACATTGTAACTGTCACACTTTCAGTCTCATTCATAAATAAAACCAAAGAGGAGCTTAAAAAGTTAAATTAAATGTTCAAAATATTTACATTTTGTGTTTTAGACAGTGCATGAGCAACAGTCTAGCAGCAAGGATTTTTATACACTTGTGCAGACCCGGTGTAATACCTACAACATAAAGATTTGGAACATCGACTGGAAGGTAAATTGATACGATGCTGATTGCCAGCAGCTGGCATACATGAGCAGAATGACAGCGGCACCTAGGACACCAGCAAACTGGTCTCACAGCAGCAGTACAGTCAGGATGACGGCTTGTGTCTTTCATTATTCAGGAGAACAGGAGGAGACGCTGAGAACCACTAGGTCACACAAAACACGCTATAGCCAGTTATATAACACTGAGTGACGATCAGGGGATGAAGTTATAGTGAAAACTGTCATAGGACCATACTTGAAATACTATAATTTAAAATGTGAGTGACACGTAGAAAGGAATAAGGGAGGTGCAGTGTGTACTTCATTCTTACTGCGACACTTCCCTCTGAACATTACAGCTGGAATTAAAAGCGGTCA